AATTAAAGTCTTATATTGCTTGCGGTATTCGTGTCACCCTATGCTGAATTGATTCAAGAAGATATATATATATATATATATATATATATATATATATATATATATATATATATATATATATATATATATATATACGGAAAAAAACACATACTGAAACTTTTTAGTCCCTGTGTAATAAGTATTTGTGTCAATAAGCAAAACTAATAATAATAACATTACAATTTCACTGACAGGAGGTAATCCACTGTTATTTAGGGTGGTAGCCCTCCTATCCAGTAATCTAAATGGTTAACTTACAACTAGGAGATTTCAAGACTTACAAATGTGAGCAAGACGCAATAATCGTAGATTTAAAAAGGTTAATCGAAACTTTAAGAACAGATAATGCAAACTTGACTAAGAGAGTTCTGGATTTAGAAAATTCTAAATCAAAATCTAGTTCAGCAGTGACAGGTGATTGGGCTAGTAAAGTAAAAAAAACTCCAGATCAAATGCAAATTATTAATACTATCGCAAATGAAACCAAAGAAAGAGATAAAAGAGAAAATAACTTGGTTATTTTCGGTTTAGAGGAATCAACATTAAGTGATAAAGTCAAAGCTATTGAAGAAGATAAACAAAATATTGAAACAATCATGAAAAAGTTGAAGGTCAATGTCAAAATAAAAAATGTTATCAAATTAAAGTCAAAAAATGGATATAAAGCTCCATATATTGTTGTTTTAAATGATAAATTGGAAGGTAATTCTGTTTTAAAAAATGCCAAGGAATTGAAGAAAGATAAAACATACGAAAGTGTATTTATAAATCCTGATTTGACTGAATCTGAACGGTACAAATCAAAGCTATTAAGAGAAGAGTGTAAAAAACTAAATAATGACAATATTAACAAGGCAAACTTTTACTTTGGTATTAGAAATGACAAAGTTGTAAAAATAAAAAAATAGCAACTAAAAAAAGACTTAAACCACATTCGATGCTTTAACTATGAAACTAACAATAAAATAAAGCTTAGTGGTGGAGGTCAAAATCTTAACAAGTTGCTGAGCAATAAGAGACAGCTAGATATAGAAATATTAAACTTTCATGAGCGTAAGAAATGTGATTTAAGTATAAACAAGGAGCACGATACTCAAAAATGCTATGAACTGATGATTTGGTATACAAATGCAACGTCTCTGAATAATAAAATTGATGAGTTAAGGTTACAATGTGAAATATATAAACCGGATGTTATTTGTGTTACAGAAACTTGGTTTAAAGCAGAATCAGATGTAAATATAATAAGTTATAATATTTTTAGAAGTGATAGAAAGACTCATGGAGGAGGTGTTTGTATTTATGTAAAACAATGTATTAATCAGTTTGAAACAAATAATTTACAGTTAAACAATAATTTTATAGAACAAATATGGACTTGTATATGTTTTAAAAATAACAAAATGCTAATTGGATGCATTTATAGACCACCAGATATATCTCATGAGTATAATAACTATGTTTTGCTATCTATTAATGCTACTAAAATGAGTATTTATCAAAAAGAATACAGCGATCTTATTATTACAGGTGACTTCAACTATAATACAATAGATTGGTCTGATAATAATTGTCCTTTTTTAGCAACTGATAATGAATCTCAAACTAATAAATTTATTGAATGTCTTGAAGATTGTTTTCTGTTTCAATGTGTATGTGAGCCAACATTCCAAATAGCAAACTACAAATCAACTAATATTCTATACCTTATTATCACAAACGATAAAAACAAAATTGTTTCTATAACTCACTCAGCTCCTTTAGGGAATGTCAAACAGGGTCATCATTTGTTAAAGTGTTGTTATCTAATGAATGATTATAAGTTTTCAACCGAACATAAGAAATCCATTAGATTATATCAAAAAGGAAATTATGAACTATTTTCTTGCCATTTCAATAATGTAGATTGGGAAAATGGATTTAAAAGTAAATCTATAAATGAAATGTATGATTTATTTTTGTATCATTACAATTATGCAACTAATCTGTTTATCCCAAGAATTAATTATTAAAATAGAAGGAACAGAAACAAATGGATTACTCCTGAATTGAAACATAAAATAAGAACTAAAAACAATATATGGCTTGCTAATAAATGTAATGGCTGGAATGAGGAATCAACAAAAATTCAGTATAATAAGCTAAAAATTAGAATAAAGAATGATATTAAGAACAATATAAAACAATTTGAAAGTACTTTAGCTAGCAAGTTTAAATCAAATCCTAAATTACTTTATAAATATATCAATGAGAAGAAATCAGTGAAAACTCATATTCGAGCTCTGGAAATTGATAATGGGGAAATCATAAATGATCAATTCGCCATAGCTACTGAACTAAATAAATATTTTCATTCTGTGTATGTTAATGATAATTGTACAAATATTATTGAGTTTCATAATATACCTTCAAATTTATTGTTAAACACAGTTTTAATAACACAAAATGATGTTCAAACTAGACTTCAAGCACTTGATAAATCAAAATCAGTCGGTTTTGATTTTGTTCATCCATATGTTTTAAAAGAATGCAGCTCGTCAATATCATACCCATTATATTTAATTTTCAAAAAATCGATGGAAACAGGTACCCTACCAGATATGTGGAAGAAGGCAAATGTAATGCCACTTTTTAAAAAGGAAGCAAATTAAAAGCATCTAACTATAGACCAGTCTCGTTAACTTCAATACCTTTTAAAGTGTTAGAAAGAATAATCGCTGATTGTATCATGCAACATCTCATAAAAAATAATTTACTTTCAAAAAAACAACATGGTTTTATGAAAAGCAAGAGCTGTACAACAAACCTATTAGAATATCTAGATATTTTAACAGATGCGTTCCACAATAGAACACCGGTAGATGTATTGTACACAGATTTTAAAAAAGCTTTTGATAGTGTTTCACATAAAAAGTTATTATCTAAGTTATTGACTTTTGGTATTTCTGGTAAACTTCTTACGTGGATCGTCTGTTTTTTAGCTAACAGAAAACAAAAAGTGGTTTTAGGTAAAAGTGTGACAGATTGGGTTGATGTACTTAGTGGTGTCTGTTCTAGGTCCTCTCCTTTTTTTGGTATTTATAAATGATTTACCAGAAAATTTTATTAATGAATGTTGTTTATATGCTGATGATAATAAGATAATTGCACCTATTTCTTCTCAAAATGATTCACAATTGTTTCAAAATGATATAAATAAACTTGACGAATGGTCAACAAAATGAAAATTAGGATTAAATTTTGAAAAATGTAAAATTATGCACTTTGGTTCAAATAATAACGAATATTCATATTTTATGAACAATAACAATACATTAATGGAAATTGAAAAGTCAAAATTAGAAAAAGACATTGGTGTTTATATATCAAGTGATTTAAAATGGGCCAAACAAGTAAAATATGCAGCTAGTAAAGCAAATAGTATACTCTCACTACTAAATAATACATTCAAGTACAAGGATAAAGATCTAATAAAAACACTGTATTTTACATATGTTAGACCAAATTTAGAGTTATCAATTCAAGCATGGAGTCCATATTATACAAAAGATATTAATGAACTAGAAAAAGTCCAACGAAGAGCTACCAAAATGATACCGGAGCTTAGACATCTTGAGTACAAAAAAAGATTGGAAATTTTGGGTTTGACTACTTTGGAGACTAGAAGGCTAAGGTGCGATTTAATCCAGCAATTCAAAATATTTAAAGGTATTGAAATCATTGATATTAAACAAAATCAAACAATGAACTCTATTTGCTCATCAGGTCCTGCAGCTAACATTAGAGGAGCAAAACATCGAATTTATACCGGCTGTCATAGATATTGCCTGGCGCTTTATCTCAACAGCATTAATTAATAATAATAATAATAATAATAATAATAATAATATATATATATATATATATATATATATATATATATATATATATATATATATATATATATATATATATATATATATATATATATATATATATATATATAATTGAATTACAAATAGAATTGTTTACTTATTTTAAAATTATTTAATTTTAAAATGAAAAAAACACTTAATTGATGGGACGTGCTTTTTAAATTTTGTGAAATACTTTTTTGTGATCACTATAATCATACCTTGCTAGAAAAACTTAATTTGGGAGTGTGCACTTTTTTAAAACATACATACTGTTTGGGGAGGAAGTGTCTGTTTCTAAGTTTAATGTTATTGCAGTAAATGAAATAAGAGCGCTAGCAATTAAACTCCTGACTTTATTTGTTACAAAAAAAAATAAAGTCATCTTTTAACCATGAAGTATTTACAGTAAATGGTTTTAACCACTATTAAATAATTTAATACAAAAGCTATTACTATATATAATTTTTCTAATAAAAATGTTACAACGTTACTAAATTTTTAAGTTTATAAATCATTTTTAACAAATTAAAACAGTATTTTGAAACAAAATATTTCTTTAAAAAAAACATCTTTTTTAGAAATTAAATGGTGTGGTGGTAAAAGAAATTATCATTGCCATGAATTTTTCATAATAATATAGAAAAGCATCTAAATTTTATATAAAAAATGTATTCAATTAAAAACATAATTTATTTTTAATAGTTCTTTACATTGAATGCAAATCGGAACAGTATTTTGGAACAGAGGGAGTATTAAAGATTACCTCCATACAAAGATACCTCCTGTAAATAATCTAACATTCAGGTTTTGTATGTACTAAAGCCTGTCATTTCTTTACTTTAATACTACCAGTACACATAATACACATAAAACATTACTATGTTTTATGTGCCCCTCTGCAATAAAATTTATTAAAGTTAAGCTAAAAAACTGGTTGATATATAAACGAAACTTATGAAAAATATTAGCATTTCATTAAAAATTGACATGAAAAAAATTTATTTTTTTCAATAATAAAACTGCATAAAAAAATTGAATGAATATCTCTACTAGAAAAGTTATTACCTTATAAGAGTCTGATCCAAATGGCATTGATTCTCCATAATACCTATGCTCAGCAAAAACAAGCATTGCGCTAAATTCCTCTGCTATATCCCACATGAAACCCTAATAAAAATCTCCAACATAAAACACTAAAAAAAATATCCCATAAAGCTAAAAAAAATAAATCTATCAGCCAATAAAAATTTTTAACAAAAGAAACTAGGGTCAAGGTCATTTAAAAATAGCTAAAAAAAATAATCTTTAGTGAAATATAATTAATGATAATAATAATAATAATGATAATGATAAAAATAATAATGATAAAAACAATAATAATAAAAACAATAATTAACTAACAGCAAATTAACAAGGACAAGAGAAGGATTATGAAACTTGAATTGAGTTGAATAAAAATGTTGTTATAAAAAAGCAAATAAAGGAAGCAGAATTGCAGTGCTAAACACAAATGACTATGAAAATTAAGTTAAAGAAATACTTGATAACGACATATATTGTTACAGATCATTCAGTTGTTGTTCCAAATCATTCACATCAGGTCAGATTTATCCTACTACTGGTAACATGTAACCCAGTACAATCTGCTTTATGTCCTACTGCCTTGTAAGATACACATTTTTAGGCAAAGGTTAGGAAATGCCAACTCCAACATAAAACACCCCCTGCCTTGGGGCTCTTGGTTGAGTAAAGGCTAGAGATTGTGTCTCGATAAAAATACTCATCTTGGGCAGATGTTAAATGCATCCGGCTGCTGTCTTGTAGAAGGCCTCCTAGGCAAAGATTTAAAGTGTAAAGAGACTCTATCTGTTGACCAGCCTCACACCCCTTCTTCATCTATTAGACTGGCGCAGATGTATTTTTAATACATTGTTTTTAGTTTAGGATGTTAAATACTGGATCTTCTTGACTCGATGCATGGGTTTTGCTTGTGTCTCTGTTTTTATGACTACTCAACCCATTCTATTATCTCCTAATGAGGGTACAGCTCTTAAACTCAGTTTTATGGTTCTGAGGCCGGCTGGTAGTCAGGTTTCTAGAACTCTATGTAGCTCTCAGAGAGGCTGATTCCATCAACAGTTGTAAAATATTAAAGTACTAACAGTGCCATGTTGCGCATGGATGGTATCCCTGTTAGTACTTTTAGTGTGCATTATTAAGGCAACATCAGAGCATTTTGTTACGGCTTATGGTTTATTAACAGTAATGAGGCAATTGCTTGGGCTATTAAGCAGTATACTGAGTACTATCTATGTTTCGAGTCAAGTTCTTTAACAAATTTGAAAATGAATAAAGTAACAAAAACTATAAAACACAAAAAACCACAGTTTGCTAAACCTATAATTCACTAATATTTGTGGTCTTCGAAGTAACTTTTCTTCTGTTGAGTCTTATCTCTTGCAAAGTTCGCCAGACCTACTTGCTCTTTGTGAGACTAATTTGAGTTCAGCTGTCTCATCTTGCAATCTTAGTGTTGATGGTTACCTTTCTTTAATTCGTAAAAACTACAATAGTCACATGCTTGGCCTGGGCATTTACATTCGTAAGAATTCACCCATTTGTTGGGAAACTAGGTTTGAATCCACAGACTACTCTTTTATGTGCTTTCGTTAAGCACCACTTCACTCTAACACTTTTCTCTTTGTTCTATATCGCTCTCCTTTATCTTAAGACTGCACTCTTCTTGATGTTATTTCTGATCATATTGACCAAACCCTCTCTCTTTATCCATCAGCCAATATTGTTATTGTTGGTGACTTTAATGTTCATCACACTAAATGGCTTGGCTCTAGTGTCAGTGACTCTGCAGGCATTAAGGCCCACAACTTTTGCCTATCTCAATCTCTAACTCAAATAGTGAACTTTCCAACTCGCTTTCCAGACAACCCGAATCATTTACCTTCTCTACTCAACTTATGTCTTGTTTCTGATCCTAGTCAGTGCTCAGTTTCTCCACATTCACTCTTAGCTGCCTCTGATCCCATTTGATCTCTCTAAAACTATTATCTCATTCTTCTTTACCACCAGAATCCCACTATCATCGCACATCTTACAACTACCTTAAAGCTGACTGGGACTCTTTCCGTGATTTTCTGCGTGATGGCCTTTGGGTAGAAATCTTTTGTCTCCATGTTGACAAATGTGCTTCTAACATAACTTTGTGGATTCAGGCTGGCATGGAATCCTTTATTCCCTCTCAACGATTCCAGGTCAAGACTCACTCTTCTCCATGGTTTTCCTCACATTGTGCTGCTGCAATTGCCAATCGAAACCTATCGGTTATTACTAACAGTAATAACCGATAGGTTTTATTGCGCATTAGATAAAGGTAAAGAGGTTAAGGCCATCGCTCTTGACATTTCTAAAGCGTTTGTTAAAGTTTTGCATACTGGTCTTCTCCATAAGCTTTCTTCTTACGTTGTATCTGGAAACATCTTTAAGATTATTTAATTCTTCCTTAAATTGAAAAGAAGAAGAGTGTTGTCCTTGATGGACAGCACTCTTCTTATTCTGTAACCTCAGGGGTTCCTCAAGGTTCAATCCTTGGCCCTATACTCTTTTTAATTTACATTAATGATCTTCCAGATATTCTCATATCTAAGGTGGCATTGTTCGCTGATGATACTACCATTTATTCTTGTCAAGATAAGAAGCCAACTCCCTCTGATTGCTTGCAGGGGGCATTTGAGCTTGAAAAGTATCTCACTTCTGCTACAGCATGGGGCTCACAGTTGCTGGTGAACTTTAATTCAGATAAAACTCAATTTTTTTAAGCCAATCATTATTGCAATAATTTAGACCTTCTTATATTTATGAACGGTAATGTACTCGATGAGTCATCTACCCTTCATCTTCTAGGATTAACTCTTACTTCTGATCTTTCTTGGAAACCTTAAATCAAATCCATTGCAAAACTAGCATCTGCTAAAGTTGCATCTCTTTATCGAGCTCGACACTTTCTTACTCTGGATTCTATTCTCTATCTCTATAAATCTCAAATCTGGCCTTTTATGGAATACTGTTGCCATACCTGGGACAGATCTTCTAATGATTTCCTTTGTCTTTTAGACAAGGTGCAAAAATGCATTGTAAACATAGTTGGACCTGCTTTTGCAGCCAACCTTTAACCTTTGTCACATTGTCATAATGTTGCTTTTCTTTTCTACAAATACTATAATGAGCACTGCTCTAAAGAGCTAGCGTTTCTTGTGCCATCTACTAAAATTCATTGTCGTCTTACTCGTCATTCAGTTAAGTCTTATATTTTTTCTGTTACTGTTCCTACTCATTCGTTTAGTCTTTTTCCACGAACATCAGTTCTTTGGAATTCACTTCCTTCATCTTGCTTTCCTGATTCATATAATTTGCAATCTTTTAAGTCGTCTGTCAATCGTTATCTTGCTCTACAATCTTCATCTTTTCTCTTCCAGTAACTTCCAACACTAATTAGTGGTTGCTTGCAGCCTTGTTGGAGGCGAAGATGTTAAAAAATATATATATATATATATTTTTATATATATATATTTATATATATATATATATATATATATATATATATATATATATATATATAAAAATATATATATATATATATATATATATATATATATATATATATATATATATATATATATATATATATATATATATATATATATACTTGATAATATTAACTTTACAGAACTCTCACAAGACATCTGATTCTTAGAGAACATTTGGGTATTATCAATAACATCATTTGAGAACTTAGTAAGACACTATCTCAACTTATCAATGCCATATATAATATACTTGATTGTTAATAAATATGTTATTTGTATGTTATTGTTATTATAATTACAAAATTCTTTGTTCTTGGTGCTTATTACTTGTTTAAAGAATCTCATTATACATTTGTGGTCATACAACTTTCACAATACATTATCAGAATAACAATTTTTTTATTGTATTTTTTTCTGTGTCTTAACTCATGATGTATTACAAGTTAATTCATTCTTTGATTTCCTACATATTATCCATATTGCACTACCTAGCAGACTTGTACATTATGAAATTATCGTTTACCCATTTTCAACTATAAATTTGTCTGGAATAAATTCTAGTCATTCAGATTGCTTTGATAATGTGCTCCTATGATGTTTTTTTAATTTGACTTTTCTGAGTCAAATTGTTATTGACTGTAAAGTCTTACAATAAAACATGTTTATTATTATAAGTTAAATACTGAAGCTATAAAATTGTATGTTTCTTGCATTTTACTTTTTATGTTATTGTGTATTAAAATAAATAAGAGAATACTTTTTATATTCATTTTTTATTTATATAAATTTAAATTTTTTACATTTTAGACCAATATGTAATATATTACTGTAATGTAATACTACAACTATCTGTTATTGGTTAAACTAGGTATATATATATATATATATATATATATATATATATATATATATATATATATATATATATATATATATATATATATATATATATATATATATATATATATATATATATATATATATATATATCTTTATATATATATATATATATATATATATATATATATATATATATATATATATATATATATATATATCTTTGCATTTATAAAAATAAAAATTTAAGAAAGAACAAAAAAAAACCTACCGTGTTATTACAAAACCAAGTTATATCTCCCTCATTGCCAGTGTAAAAAAATACAGGGGCACCTGGTTTAAAGTAATCATCATTTATCAAATATCTTTGAGCAAACTGATAGTCTTCTGACCGAAATGAAAAGTGATCAAGCTTAAAAGAATTAAAAAAAAGACTTTTATATTATATACAAGATTATATTCTATATAATACTACATATAAAATTTATAACATTTATAATAACATATAGTATAGTAAATGACAATATATGATACTTAAAATATTATCAACAAAACAAAAATTAATTTACAACTTTACCAAAACTTGATAGAAGCTCAAGCTGTGGTGGCAGAAGGCTGATGGAAAGCTGTGATGGAAAGCTGTGATGGAAAGCTGTGATGGAAAGCTGTGATGGAAAGCTGTGATGGAAAGCTGTGATGGAAAGCTGTGATGGAAAGCTGTGATGGAAAATGTGTTAGAAAGATTATTAATGTATATAAAAAACAAATGGGACCAAGGATGGAAACTATTGGTACCTTAGAATTAGCAAACTCTAGGCTACTTGAAGACTTTATCATTGGAATAAAGAAGAAAATGAAAATTTTGCCCATCAAACACTGCAATTAAAAAGACCAGCATGCTAAATTTTTATTTTACTACACCCATCTAAATCACGATAAAATCCTTCTATTATTGTAATAAAATTTCATTAATAATTCAAGAGGATTGAAATTAATATTGATTGTAAGAAAGTTATTATAAAGTCAACATAAAATATTAAAAGTTTGCTTTTTAAAAGTTCAAAAACTATGCTTATGATGGTAAGTTAACTGTCTTAGAAATAGTTAAAATAATGATAGTAATAGACCGAGTGAGCGTGGGTCAGAGTAATCTCTGGAGTTTTAAAAAATAAGAACAACAAATGTTTTTTTTTTTTCAGATAGGAGGGAAGTTTAGTAGTTAAAATATTCTTAGGGTTAAAAATTGTAATTTGTGCTATAAAAGTGAATTCAACAAATCAATGTTGTGATTTGTTGCAATGAAAGTGATTGCAACCAAACAATATAAAAATCTTCACAATATGCAGTTAAATACTATCTGTCAATATATTGCACCCCTCACTGTTAGAAATTTAATTATTAATATTGTTAATGTTTTTTGCAAATGTTTATTTTAAAACTTTATTAGTGGTAAAGATTGCATAACTCGATTTCTCATTATTACTGCATTTTTAGATTTCAGGTTTCCACTTTTGACACAAATTGTTCTTATTTTTCATCAAATTTTGAAATATGGTTAATAACAAGCTAATATGGTCATCCATATGGTTAATAATAAGCTAATAGGGTCATCCATATGGTTAATAACAAGCTAACAGGGTCATCCATGTGGTTAATAACAAGTTAATAGAGTCATCCATATAGTTAATAACAAGCTAATAGGGTCATCCAAATTTTTTTTTCAAAAAGTGCAAACTGAAACATAACATTCTATACATCTTCTAAAAGAGGTGATTTGAATTATTATTAGATTTTTGAGGTTCTACAAAAATTCTAAAATTTTATAAAAAATTTTAAAATAATAAACGAAAATTTTTTTTTTAATTATTTTTCATTTTTTTATTGTTTTCTTTTTTTAATTTACTTCAAATCCCCTTGAATTTTTACCAAATTTTTGTTTTATTAGATGGATAAGTATGAGAGGTTTCAATGTGCACTTTTTGAAAATAATTTTTTTTGGACCGCCCTAATGGTTATTTACAAGCTTGCTATTTAAAATAATAACTTTGATTTATAAAAATAAATATTCCGAAATTTGCTTGTTTTTATAAAATAAAAACAAGTAAATTTAAATAACTGTTTTTATAAAAGTAATAAGCTTAGATTCATGGGTTTTGATTGTGTCTCTGTTTTTATGACTAGGCAACTCATTCTATTATCTCCAAATGAGGGTACAGCTCTAAAACTCAGTTTTATGGTTCTGAGGCCGGCTGGTAGTCAGGTTTCCCGAACTCTGTGGTAGCTCTCAGAGAGGCTGACTCCATCAACAGCTGAAAAATATCGGAGTACTAACAGTGCCATGTTGCGCATAGATGGTGTCCCTGTTTGTACTTTTGGTGTGCATTGCCAAGGCCACATTGGAGCCTATTGTTACGGCTTAGGGTTTATTAGTGGAAATGAGGCAATTGCTTGAGCTATAAAGCAATGTACTGAGTACTATCTATGTTTCGAGTCAAGTTCTATAACAAATTTAAAAATAAATAAAATAACAAAAACTATAAAACACAAAAAACCACAGTTTGCTAAATCTATCATTCACTAATATTTGTGGTCTTCGAAGTAACTTTTCTTCTGTTGAGTCTTATCTCTTGCAAAGTTCGCCAAACCTACTTGCTCTTTGTGAGACTAATTTGAGTTCAGCTGTCTCATCTTGCAATCTTTGTGTTGATGGTTATCTTTCTGTAATTCGTAAAGACTCCAATAGTCACATGCTTGGCCTGGGCATTTACACTCGTAAGAATTCACCCATTTGTCGGGAAAATAGGTTTGAATCCACAGACTACTCTTTTATATGCTTTCGTATAGCATTACTTCACTCTATCACCTTTCTCTTTGTTCTATATCGCTCTCCCTCATCTGCACTCTTCTTTATATTATTTCTGATTATATTGACCAAGCCCTCATTCTTTATCCATCAGCCAATATTGTTGTTGTCGGTGACTTTAATGTTCATCACACTGAATGGCTTGGCTCTAGTGTCAGTGACTCTGCAGGCATTAAGGCCCACAACTTTTGCCTTTCTTAATCCCTAACTCAAATAGTCAACTTTCCAACTCACTTTCCAGACAACCCGAATCATTTACCTTCTCTACTCGACTTATGTCTTGTTTCTGATCCTAGTCAGTGCTCAGTTTCTTCACACTCACCCTTAGGTGCTTCTGATCATGGTTTGGTCTCACCTAAAGACAAAGCTGAATTGTTTGCCAAGAACTTTTCATCAATATCATCTCTTGATGGCAATAGTTGCGTTCTACCTAATATAGCCGTCAAACAGGTTGATCCATTGCTCGACATTCGTATCACTCCAGCTTCTGTATCTAAAGTAATTTCCTGCTTATATTCTTCTACAGCTTGCGGCCCGGACAACATACCTATTATAGTCTTGCAGAAGTGTTCTCCGGAGCTGTCATCTATCCTTTCAAAACTATTTAACAAGTGCTTATCAGAGTCTTGTTTTCCAGCCTGCTGGAAAGCAGCTTCTGTTATCCCTATTTTTAAAAATTCTGGAGAGCAATCCGATTCGTCTAACTACCGTCCGATTAGTCTTCTTCCTATCATAAGCAAGGTTTTTGAATCTTTAATTAACAAACACTTAATCTCTCATCTCGAATCTCATAACCTATTTTCTGATCATCAATATGGATTTCGATCTTCTTGTTCTACAGCTGTTTTGCTATCAGTAACCGATAGGTTTTACCGCGCATTAGATAAAGGTGAAGAGGTTAAGGCCATTGCTCTCAACATTTCTAAAGCGTTTGATAAGGTTTGGCATGCTGGTCTTCTCCAAAAGCTTTCTTCTTACGGTGTGTCTGGAAACATCTTTAAGATTATTGAATCCTTTCTTTCCAATCGTAGTATAAAAGTTGTCCTTGATGGACAGCACTCTTTTTCTTATTCTGTAACCTAAGGGGTTCCCCAAGGTTGAATCCTTGGTCCTATACTCTTTTTAATTTACATTAACGATCTTCCAGATATTCTCACATCTAAGGTGGCATTGTTCGCTGATGATACTACCATTTATTCTTGTCACGATAAGAAGCCAACTCCCTCCGATTGCTTGCAGGGGGCATCTGAGCTTGAAAAGGATCTCACCTGCTACAGCATGGGGCTCACAGTGGCTGGTGAACTTTAATTCAGATAAAACTCAATTTTTTTCAGCCAATCATTATCACAATAGTTTAGACCTTCCTATATTTATGAATAGTAATGAACTCGATGAGTCTCCTACCCTTTATCTTCTAGGATTAACTCTTACTTCTGATCTTTCTTGGAAACCTTATATCAAATCCATTGCAAAATTAGCATCTGCTCAAGTTGCTTTTCTTTATCGAGCTTGTCACTTTCTTACTCTGGATTCTATTCTTTATCTCTATAAATCTCAAATCCGGCCTTGTATGGAATACTATTGCTATATCTGGGGCGGATTTTCTAATGATGCTTTTTCTCTTTTAGACAAGGTGCAAAAACGCATTGTAAACATAATTGGACCTGCTCTTGCAGCCAACCTTCAACCTCTTTCACATCGTCGTAATGTTGCTTCTCTTTCTCTTTTCTACAAATACTATAATGGGCACTGCTCGAAAGAGCTAGCGTCTCTTGTGCCATCTACTAAAATTCATTCTTGTGTTACTTGTCATTCAATCAAGTCTCATCCATTTTCTGTTACTGTTCCTAAGTGCTCCAAAAACTCTTATTCGTCTAGTTTTTTTCCTCAAACATCAGTTCTTTGGAATTCTATTCCTTCATCTTGCTTTCCTGATTCATATAATTTGCAATCTTTTAAGTCATCTGTCAATCGTTATCTTGCTCTACCACCTTCATCTTTTCTCTTCCAGTAACTTCCAACACTAATTAGTGATTGCTTGCAGCCTTTTTGGAAGCGAAGATAATTAAAAAATATATATACATATATATATATATATATATATATATATATATATTATATATATATATATATATATATATATATATATATATATATATACATATATATATATATATACATATATATATATATATATACATATATATATATATATATATATATATATATATATATCAGGCTTGGTCGGGAAGCGGGAGCGATCGCTCTCGAATACTGACCACGGAAATTATATTTAGTTGCGTAAAACTGGCCAGGTTTTTTAGTCGTTTTGAGAACATTTAAGTTTATGTACGAAACACAGAATTTTTGTTTTACGGACATACATGGAAACATAATAAACTAGAATGTTCTCAAATTATCTTCGTGCGAAAGAATAAAAAGAATATTTGCGAACACTAAAAACCCGCCAAATTAACAAACAAACTAATTCTATTGGTTCAAAAAATACGCTGATTAAGCGAAATAAAGTTCTAGAGTATTCTGTTAAA